TTTTTTTTTTCTCTTAGGGTTTATTTTTTTAATTTTTCTTTTTCTGTAATTGCTGTTTTATATAACGTTTCTAATTTGTTTTTATTCTCTTCTTAACTAACATTAATTATTCATTTAATCCCTCTACACAATACTACTTTTTCTGGTTCAACGCAATAGCTCTATGAATAACTACTCTTTGGTATAAGAAAATGATACTAAAATTTACATGTCCACTCTATGTGAGGAATAAAATTAACTTTTGGACAAAAGTTTGTGGTTATAACTAAAATATTTTGGAATTGTTTAGTGTTAAAAAGGGGCATGTACGTATTAAAAAAGCTTAAGTTCATAAAACTTGCAGACAACAAATTTTTTGATATTATTCTTTACGACACAACAAAATCTCTCAATGAGAGTGGTACCATAAATTATTTAGAAACCTTACACATACGAAATGAAACCCAAACACTACACTCATTCAGTAAATTAATTAAACTGTGCAACCAACGATAATACTTTGTTAATTATAATGAAAGTATATGTTTAATAAGCAAATGACTAAAACTGATAAATAAGACTATTTTTTGATAATTTTATTGAAAAAAGAGATAGAAAAAGTAATTAAAATGAAGAATATATATTAAGGTTTACATAAGACTTAATAACTCTGTTCTAAAGTCATGATAAAAAATAAAATAGTAAGTCCTCAACTCATAACACAATAAAATTATTTGCAAATAAAATAATAATGTTTTAAGTAAAAAAAAGAAGCAAATCAAGGATCTCAATTATTTCTTCTTATCTGAAATCTTCTTGCTATAGAAGTCAAGTTCTTTACCTTCAAGGATATATCCTTCAACTGATCCAGTTTGTCCTGGTCTGGAAGAAATACATGCAAGAATTCTTCCACTTTGGAATCCTTCTAATAATGCTTCATCAAATTTCATATTCTTTAATACTTCTAATTTCTTTGCATATTTCTTTTGCATAGTCTTAGTTGGATTCATAAGTGCTACTTGAGTTTGAGCAATTTGATGTGCAATACTCTTTTCTTTATTTTCTTCTTCCTTTGGAATAACAACCTTCTTTTCTGTTTTGAATGTAGCTGATTCGAGTGATTTATAATATTCAGTTGATGCAATATCTTTTCCATAGAATTTAAGGAACCATAATCTGAATGGTGCTGGATCAATCTCAATAATAGCACCTTTAACTAATGTATTAGTTCTGACAAAATCATTATCTGATGCGTTATAAACGACATTGAGAATCTTAGTACCTTTAGTGATAGATTGGGATGCCCATGAGAAGTTTCCATTTTCTAATCTCAATGCTCTTCTTTTAATAATTCCATATCTACATCTAACATTATGAACTCTAATAGCTCCAAGTCTGGTATTAGCTGGTTGTCTTCCCATAGTGTTCTTCTTCTTCTTTTGCATACTATTCTTCTTTCCTCCAGTGGCTCTTCTTTTATGTCTGGAATCTCTTGTAATTCCCATTGTGAAATCCCAATTACTTCTTTTCTTAGTTCTTTTTCTTTTCTCAGGGTTTTTAATAGGTTTTCTTTTTATTAATTATTCTTTTAAATTCTTTCTGAATATTTTCTTTTTAAATAAATTTTTTTATTATTTCTTTATTATTAATTTATGTTTTATGAAATAACATTTTTTTAGATTATTTGTTTTTTTTTACCCTAAAAAGGTTTTAATGATTTGAATACTGAAATTAATGAAAATGAAATGAATAAATTAAAATTGGTTTATACATTAAGATGATCACACCATATTTTTCTTTAACACAAAACAATGAATATGTTATAGTCCATATTAAAATACCACCATATCAACAATTTGGTGTTGAGGATATTCAAATTGATAACAATACAATGATATATCATTCAGAACCATATTTTTTATCACTTACATTTAAAAATGATATTGCCAAAGACGGAACAGAAAAAGCTGAGATTGATCGTCTTGAATGTAAATTACATGTTTATTTACCAAAAGAACATAAAGGAGAAGTCTTTCCTGATCTTGATATGTTACCATTGTTTCTTACTAAGAAAAAAATTTTATCTCGAGTTCAAGTAATTAACACTACACCTAGTGCTGAAAAAGAAAAAATTGAACATGAAGTTATAAAAGAGATTACTCCTGAAGAACAAGAGTTAATTGATAAAATGCAACGACTTGAAAAATTAAGACAAGAAAATGAGAATAAAAGAAGTTCTAATGAAAAAATAAGAAAAGAAGAAAAGTTAGATTTTATTTCACGAGATGATTTAATTCTTGGAGAAGACCAACAGATAAGAGATGAAACTGAAGATACTGTCAATATTTTTGCACCAAAATATGGTTTTAATGGAAGTCATTCTGAATTTTTTAAAGACTTACAACAAAATTCATTTGAAATAGTTATGTTAAGAAATCCAGATCAAACAGATAGTAAAGGAAGAAGAAAACAACGTATTAATGATGAATTCAATAGTTTTGATAAAGATAGATATATTTGTGATACATTTGAATGGGACAATGAAGAGGATGTGTTAAAGAATAATTCTTTTTGGTGGAAAGAAGATAGAGATTGGACAGATGAAGAAAGAAATGAATTTGGGTCATTAGATAAAATAGAAGTTCTTGTTAGTAATGAAGAGGTAATACAAATATATAAAGATTTATTTGGAATTGTTTATGGATATTTGTATGATCAAATAGTTATGGGAGAAAGTACAGTAGAATCAGGATGGACTATTGCTACATTATCTCCAGTAATGTCATATTTTGATAGAATAGATGATGTTGTTGATTTAATGGAAACTTGTGTTCGAAGAAGTTTAATTTATCCAGTAGTAAGAAATTGGGAACTATCAATAAAAACATTAGAAGAAACTATTGAAGTTTTTAAAAAAAGAAGAGTTGTTCTTATGAAAATTTTATTACGATTACACCGGATTTATAAATTAGATGAATTAAAACATTATATGAATTATTTATTTTTTGATGAATATTGTAATTGGATTCAAAGTGCAGATGATCAAATAAGACATCAGTTAGTACTGATGATAGAAGAAGTTAAAGGAAAAATTTGTAAGGAGTGTATTGGTTTACCTTTACAAGATGCAGAACAAGAATATATTGATTATATTGCTTCAATTCCAGATGGGGATGATATAATGAATGAAGAAGAAAATGAACCACGAGGGTATATTGATTGAAATTAAAATGAATATTGTTTTACATTTTATTATTTTCTTTTTTTATAAGAGAAAAACAGTTTATCGTAATTAAAAATATTTTTTTAGTAAGAAAGAATTTAAAATAAAGAAACTAAGAGAAGAATATAAATAAAATTAACTTTTTTGTGTTTGGTTAACTTTATCCAATGAATTATAGAAAGATTAAAATAACAAAGAAAGAGAAGATGTTTAAAAGAGTTTAAAACAAAAATGAATGAAAAAAATAAAATTAGAAAATGATTATCAAAAAAGATCCAAAAAGGATTTAAAGAGATATTCAAAAAAATTGAAAAAAATAACCAACTAGTTTATTAAGAGATAGATAGTAATTAAAAATGTTCACATACCCTTATTGTACTACTCCTCAATACTCATTCCAACCTATTTACTCTACCCAAAATCAACAATCTATTCCTATGTATTTACCTCAACAAAATAATTTTATATATTTCCAAGACATTCCTAGTTATCAACAATCATATCAACAACCTAATCAACCAATACAACAAACTCAACAAACTCAATCTATTAACAATCAAATAAAACCAAATGAAGTTGTTATAAGTTCTGATTTCTTTCAATCACCACAACATCTTAAAGAAACTAATCAACCACACTCAAACACATTATTTATCCCATCTTTAATGGAAAGTTCTGTTGATGACTTTGCTTATTTTGAAGAGCAAAGTGTTATTAAACCATTTAAAGATCATACCTATACTCCTTCTATATCCACTGTTTGTCGCTATGTTTTAACTCCGAGTGATAAAGAATATGCTCCAAAATATAGTTATTCTAGTGATGAGTTATACGTGAGAGTGTTAGTTGATTATTCAATTCATCTTAAGAATAAATATCCATATCCTGTTCAACGTGCAATAATGAAAACATCATCTCAAGGTGAAAAAATTTGCATTGATCGTATCTTAAAAATAGACAATGATGTAATACATAACAACTTCCTTTCTTTTATTGTTTCATTTAATAAAGTTAGTTATAATGAAGCGGCATGTGGGGTAATACCTGTTGGACCAAACAAAATTAAAATAAAAGTTTCTGTAACATTAACAATTAAAGACATATTCAGGTTATTAGAAATCAAAGATGTTAATGCAGTAATAGCAATAGAAGATTCTTCTACATTATTTTGTATGGATGATAGACTTATTGAAAGTGAATATTTGTATGACTGTATTACACATAATAGAATTCCACAATTTACAATTATCCCATTTTCTTATTGTTTCTATAAACCACTTCCACTAAATAAATTTGGTAATATTGTTAATTATTCAAATGAAGAATTTCCTGTCTGTGCTTTGATTAAAAAACCCTTTATATTCAATATTAATACAGTTTATTATAATACTCATGTTACAGATGAAATACGTGTTAAGTGTGTGCTACGATGTGGAGACCAAACTCTGTCCTGTCCAATAGAAAAAGTTTCGTTTAAACCTATTATAGTTACACGCCCACTTTCATCAAACGATGAGAAGTATATTTACAAATTTTCAATTGATGAAGAAGTAGATAGCAATTTAAGGATTTGTGATATTCCACTTGATTGTGAAATTATTCTGTTTGTGTTTATTGGACAAAAAAGTATTGGGTGTGCATCTGTCAAGGTATTTAATGCATGGGGAGTTCTTAAACGTGGAGTTCAATTAGTTCATTTAGAAGAAGGTAGAAGACCAATAGGAAATGGTATTGTTTCAGGCCCAATTGTAGAAATTGATTTTGGTTCTATTAGAGCAGCATACCACATTGAAGGAGTTGAAGATAGTAAATTAATGAATATTCAAAAAGAATTAGATACATTTGATTCAGTAAAAAATAGAGAAGAGTTTGAAATGATGGTTAAAATGGATGAATTAAAAGTACATGAAGAAGAAATTGCAAACCCAGTTAAAAAGATGGTTATTGACGGAGTTGATATATTCCAAGTGTTAAGGTCACCATCTTTTATTACAAGAAGTCCTCCTGATTATATTAAATCTGTATTAATTGAACAAATGGAAAATATACCAGCTGAATTCATTGGTCAAATAGCTCATTCTATTGATTGGACTGATCACCTTCAAGTAGCTCGGTTTGTTAAATATTTATGGACTCAACAAATAAAACCATTAGATGCTTTAATGTTACTAGGATACAGATGTCCATATAGAGCTGTAAGGGCTTATTGTATTTCTGTATTAGATAAACAACCAGATAATGTATTACAATTTTATGCTATTCATTTAAGTGAAGCATTAAGATATGAAGAAGGATTAACACCATTAACAGATTTCTTATTGCGTAGAAGTATTGCCTCACCAGCTACAGTTGGGTATTCATTATTTAAAATGATTGTTGGAGATAATTCCATGACAAAAAGGAGTATTCAACACTCACGATTTATTGAAGCGTTGTTATCTGCTGATCCTGTTTTTGCTAGTCAAATGACAAAAGAGTGTGAATTTGCATTAAATATTCAAACAATAAATTCTACATTAATACGAATGGATTCTGAGAAAAGACAAATTTGTAGAAGTGCACTATTAAAAAGTATTTCTGTTGCTGTGCCAATTCCATTTAAACCAGGAGTTATTGGTGGATTATCTTGTGAGAAAAGTAAAGTATATACATCAAATGCAGTGCCATTACTTATTGATTTTAGTGGATATAAAATGATATTTAAGTTGGGAGACGACCTTAGACAAGACTGTCTTATTCTAAGAGCATTTAAATTATTTGACAATTTATGGAGAATGAATGGATTAGATTGGAGAATAACACCTTTTAGAGTTATTTCTACAGGAAATACAGCAGGATATATTGAATTTGTAAGAGATTCTAGAAGTATTGGATCGATTCATAATGATTCAAAAATACCTGGAGTATATAAAGTAACAGCTATTTATGACTGGATTAAAAATAATAAAACAGCACCACTAGGACAATGTATAGAAAATTTTTATCGATCATGTGTTGGGTATTGTGTTGCATCATATGTTCTTGGATTAGCTGATAGGCATAATGATAATTTGATGGTAGACAAATCTGGACATTTTCTTCATATTGACTTTGCTCACTTTTTAGGAAATAAATTAAAAGTTGCTGGTGTTATTAACAGAGAACCTGCTCCATTTGTATTAACTGAATCTATGATATACGTCTTTGCTGGAGAAAGAGGGACTCCAAAATATAAATTAAAGTATCAAGAATTTTGTGAGGATTGTGTTAGAGCATACCATGTTCTTAGACAAAATGCTTCGCTTATTGTTTCATTCTTTACTAATATGATTTCAAGTAAATTAAGTCAATTAAATGAAATTAAAGATGCTGAGTATTTATTCACTTCATTACAATTAGGAAAACAAGATTCATTATCTGATTTAGAATTTGTAAAGCTTATTCATGATAGTTTAAACTCAGAACAAACAAATATGAATTTCTTTATTCACTCACTTGTTCAAAAAACAAAGAAATAAATGACTATTTATAAAGTGTGTATTCCTTATTTCACGTAGAATAAATAAAAAAAAATAACAATAAAATTAAATTAAAAACATATAAGTTAAAACACAAGCTAAATCATTCTATTAATTCGTATAAAACAATCAACGGTTATCAGTTAGCAAAAAAACCACCATTTGGAGGAAGGGATTGGTTAATAAAACATTCATCATTTCCAAATATTTGGTTTGAGTTTTGATTATAAATAGTAAAAAGTACTGGAGGTTGTTGATTATGTTGTTGATCTAATATAGGGACAGTCATATTTTGATTATATTGAAAAGGTTGTTGTTGTTGTTGAATAGTAAATTGATTTGGTTCTGTTGAAACATAAGTTTGCATATCATCGTTTAAATAAAGAACTTGTTGTTGAGCCATGCCAGTATTTGTTTGCATAAAAACTGGTTGTTGATTTATTCCTTCTAATGGAGTAGAATAATAATGTACATATGATAAATTTGATGTATCAGGTGGTTGTGCTGAAATAACACTTCCTTCAGGATAATATGATGTACTAAATTCAGTAAGATTAGACATTGCACCAAGAGAAGGTTCAGTAATAATAAATGGTTCTTCTTTAACATTTGGAATTGGTTCAGAAACAACAGAATTTCTATTAACAATTTTTTCTGTTGCATTTTTCCAAATAATACTAATAGCTTCATCATAAGCACCAACATCAACAGAACTACTTGACTTTTCAAACCTTTCAAAAACATTACGATTAATTGCTTCTCCAATTTCATTAATTTCAGAAAGTCCGAGAGAAACACAACCAGAAACAGAACAAATTTTTGACATTTTTACAGTTAATTTAGCTGGTTTAGTTGGTCTTTTTTTAAATACATATCCTATTTTTTCACACATTTGTAAAAGTTCAGCAAATGACAAAGAAGAACGATTGGCATCCCGATGTCGTTTTATTTGTTTTAATTTTTCTAAATCATGTTTTTCATTTGGAAGAGAAGAAATCGTATCAATATCATCAGGACGAAGATCTGTATATCCACATTCTTGTAATTCTTTAGAAACTAAATCAGTACATTTCTTATCAATTTCATGTTCAAATTGAATTAAAGTATTTTCTTTAGTTAATGCTTCAATTAACATTAATTGTAATGTCTTTTGAGACCTTCTTTCTGGACGTTTAATTCTAAACCCAAAACCATTAATATTAAGAATACCTAATAAGACTGCTTGTTGAATAGCTTCAAATGATTTAGATGATCTTTTAAGTTCTTTCATAGAATAGCCTGAAGTCTTTGAGGTAGTTGATTTCATGAAAAATACTATAAAAATTTTTAGTTTTAGATTACTTAAATTTAGTTGACCTTTGTTCAATTATTTCCCGATTTATCTCTTCTGAATTTAGCAATTTTTGTTTCTTTAAATATTACTACAAAACCACTTTTATTCTGAATAACACCTCAGTTATTTTTCCCGTTTTTTGCCAATTCTTTTCTCTTTTTTATATCATTTAAAGAACAATTAAAATAAAAAAAAAGATATTTTAAGATCAGTTTCTTTAATAGAAGAAAGAAGATCTTTCATTTTTTCTTATTTTAGACTTTGATGTTCTACTCTCTCTTTAATTGATAGAAAAAAGAAAAATAATAGAAAGTATTTTTACTTCACTAATCACCAAAAATACAATTTCTTTTTTATTTTTTTTAAGTTATATAATTAATTAATCAAAACTTTAACAAGAAGGAAAACTTTTGAGGTATAAATATTATTTCTTTAATATAAATAGAAAATTAACAAAAAAAAAAACAAAATATTGAATAAAATTTTATTTAAAACATTAGTAGATAGACACATAATGAAATGACTTAATTCTGTCATCTCATCCTATTTAGAAGATAGATTAAGCATTCATCCAATCATTTATCGTTTGAGACTTAATTCTGTATTTATAACATTGATGTATAAATTGAGAACATTTGGTATAACTCAATAATGATTTTGAGGGGTTTTTTAAAATTTGAAGAGCAGAACTTATGTCTTCACAACTTAATAAATCTTTTTTTAAATAATGTAACACTGTATTTGCAATAGTATAAATTGCTTGTTGTCCATATAATAAACATAAGTCAATAATTGCATAACAAAAATCACAAGGAAGAATTCTACAAAACCAAACCATATACCACTCAAAAAGAAATCCTGGACATTGAACTTCTTCATATCCTAAAAAGATTAAATGGTTATATATTGAGTGATGAATATTTCTAAGTAACATATTATGTATTTTTTCACACTCAATTAATCCAGGAAACCCTGTTTTAAGACAAGACTGTAAATTATATCTCTCATTTGTAATCATTGTAGTCATTAAATCAAATGTATCATTTCGTTGTTGGACAATAGAAAATATTATTCCTGCTAAATCAGACATTCCTTGAGTATAACCTACTTCTGGAATTTCTTGTGACAATGCACGTAAGATAAGAAATAATTCTCTTTTACCCATAACATAATTATCTTTAAATAAATAATGATACCCAAGCGTTCTTTTAACATCTAAATCAATTTGATTATCATCATGAATTTCTTTGGTTGAGAAAAAAAGAGTATTAAGACATTCATTTCTTTGTTGTTTACTTTGAAAAGATTTGCTAATAAGATTCCAATATTCTTTTCTACATTCTACAGGAACCCCCTTATATACTCTACGTTTTAATTTTTTTGGTATTTTTCCATCACATTTCCATTGTTCTAACATTTTTTTCCATTTAACAGTTCTTGTTTCTTCCTTTAATTTTTGAGAAGAAGTTATCATTTCACATTGAGACGTATAATCAATTCCTTTGGTAAGAGTACTAAATCCATATCTATTATATCCTTCAGGTGTTCTGGGTACTATAAATTCATTTGACTCTTTAATATTATATTTCTCCAATAAATTACACATTGGAATAAACAACTTTTTTAGTTCTATACTTTTATTATTTATTCTTTTATTATTAATTCGTTTAACTTCTTTAAATTATTCCCCCACCTTCCTATTTCTTCTCTATCGACTATTTTCGTTGTTTTGAATATTCGGCATGTTGACTTGATTTTATATTCTTTTAATTAAGAGAAATAAAGTTTAGTGAATACAATAAGAATAATAAAAGAATAAAAAAGGCAATAAACTCACACTAGTTTTGTCTTTAGAAACAGGCCTTTAATAAGTTAATAATATTAAAAAAGTCAAATAGGAAAAAGAATGACTTCAAAATGATAAAGAAAGAATGAATTAAAAACAGTGAGAGATAAAAAGAAATAATATATATTACTAATCATAACAAGTATTTGAAGGAACTGATTGAGTAAAAAAGCAATCTAGATAAGAAATATCATTAGTTTTATTTTGATTAGTACTAAAATAAAATGAAGGTTCATTAAAATGTTGAGTAATTATTTCATTTGATGATTTATTAATAGGATTAGAAGCAATAGTAGGATAAATAGAAATTTCATCATGAGAATAGGAGTTTTGTTGTTGATTATAAAGGAATAATTTAGGTTGTATTGAAAATTGTTGAAAATTATTATTATCGAAAGTATTTTCATAAGTATAATAAGAATTATCTGATTGTATTCCAGAAATAACACTTTCTTCAGGATAGAATGAAGTACTAAAATCAGTTAAATTTGAAGGTGTTGTTAAAGATGGTTCAGGACTAATAAATTTATCTTCTTTAGAGATATGATTTAAAGTATCTGAAGTAAGCTCAGTATCAATATTTTCCATTATTTTTGGTTTAACTGTAATTAAAGTATTTTGAATTGTTTGTGGGTTATTATCTAAATGACTGTGTTTTAAATTAAGTGAGTTTTTATCTTGTATAGAAGAGAATGAATTATTTTGAGTATTTTGTTTTTCTAATGAAGTTGTTATATAAATTTTTTCTTTTATTTTATCATTTTTATCTGTATTTGTAATTTCTTTTATTTGACTTGTACTAATCTCTATTTGATGATCAAATTTTTTATTATTTTCAATAACTTTATCCCAAATCTTTTCAATAATAAAGTCATGGGAAGGAATAATTATAGAAACGCTTTCTTTATTAAATCTTTCATAAATGCTTTCATTTACCCTTTTTCCAATTTCATTAATATTACTTAATGTTAAATTAACTTTTCCATAAACTGAAGAAATCTTTTCTAATTTTTTTGTCATTTTTGCAGGTTTTGTTGTTCTATATTTAAATTTATATCCTAATTTTTCACTCATTTGTAATAATTCTTTAAATGTTAATGCTATTTTATTGGCATTTTTATGTCGTTTTATTTGTTTTAATTTCTCTGAATCATATTTTGAAGCTAGTTGTGCAATTGAAGATGATCCATCAATATCACTTGGTTCTAATTCAATACATCCATTTTCTTCTAATTCTTTTTTGACAATTTCATTACAAGTAGCATTAATATTTTCTTCTAATAAAATAGTAGAACCTTTTTCATATAGTTCTTCCACTAACATTAATTGTAAAGTTTTTTGAGATCTTCTTTCTGGTTTTTTTATTTTAAATCCATACCCATTTACATTTAAAATAGATAATATTAATGCTTGTTGAATTGCTTCAAATGTTTTTGAAGACCGTTTAAGTTCTTTCATAGAATATGTAACTACTTTAGTTTCCTCAACAGGTATTATTTTCTTCATTAGTAATAATGAGTATAATTTGAGTTCTTCTCAATGATTTTTTGTTGAACTACTTCAATCTATTAATTCCTCTTCTTATTTTTTACCTCAAAGTTATCTTTTTATTCCTTTCATCCTCATTCTTTCTTCTACCAAAATTTTATTTTTATGTAATGTCTTTGAATAGAATATTCTTTTTTTTAATTTATATTTTTCTTATCTAAAATTAATATTATATCATCTCAAAAATAAATCTAGTTCAGTTTTTTATTACTATTTATATTCTTTGTTTATAACTTAATCTTTCGGGGATTTTTCTATTTGTTCTTCATTTGTGATTTAAATGATGTTTTAAAACATTAATTAAATTGTAATTACAAATAATATGAAAACATTTATTTATTAGATGAAAGGAAAGTAATGATAGATCCCCTTGTGGGTAAGAAGAAGATCTTCGTTTTTTTATAACAAATGTATGCCAAGTAAATATCAGTAATGATGAGTTGAAGTTAATTTGATTTAGAAAGAAGAAGAATAGTTAAAAAAAATTTAATAAAAAAAATGTAATAAGGGTTTTATAATGGTTATAATATATATAAATAAAAAAGAAATTAAGAAAAGAGGTGAAGTAATTTATTGATAATAATATTCTATTTACTTCTTTTTTTTTTGAGAAAGAAATAACTTATTTAAAATAATAACAAAAGAGTTAGTATATATTACAATTATACAATGCAATAAAGTTCATGACAAACAGGAGCAAATGCACTAATTGATTTTTGAGATAGAACTGACGCCGTAATATCTGATTCAGTAATTCCCAATCTTTTCAGATGACCAAAATATCTATTTTTAACAGCATTTGGAGAACGTCCATTAAGGTATTGAGATATTTGAGTCCATTTATTTCCAAGAATATTACGTTGGGAAAGAATAATTGCATCTTCAAACATCGTCCATTGTTTTTTTTCATTTGTATTTGATAAATTATTTAAAAACCTTTCTCTACATTGTTTTCTACTTCTGCTTGGTACGGCTTTAGCAATTTCATTCCAATTATTTCCAAATGTTTCAATGGCTGAAAGAAGCATTTGGTCTTCTTCTTTTGACCAAGTTCTTACAATTTTTTTATTTCTTGAATATCTTTTTTCACTAGAGGATTCACAACAAGTAGACATAATAAAGAAGGAAAGATTGAATGGATGTTATGAGATGAAGAATCCTTTTATAGCCAACCTTTTGAAAAAAAAATCAACCTTCTTGCGAAAAATACCTAATCCTGCTGTAAAATTAAATCAATTCGCAATTATATTTTGTTAAAAAACACTTTTAACCGTTAAACTAAAATTTGATTATGGTTTATTAAAAATATTACATTTATCATCTTGGTGACAAAACAATTTCATTGAGCGAAAACTGATTGTTTATGAATAGTTACTTTTTAACGATATTCTTTTGGAATACCACGAATTAATGAGTTGTCATTCTTCTTTTAGTAAAATTAAACTAAATTAAGAATTGCGAAAAAATGATTACTTTCGGACTTCATGAAATAAAATGAGTAAAACGTTATTACAAACGATCATCACTTAGTAACTCCAGAATTAAAAAAAAAAGAAATTTATTGTTTAATCTCTTCTGTTTGATAAACTTAAATTAATTATGACAAAGATCATTATTTGTTGATATTAATGATTGTTTGGATTTTTTTATAAAACCTCTCACATAAAAAATTTAAAGATAAGTTAATTTAATTCGAACCTTCCTCTTTATGAATTAATTTTTAGATTTTAATATTAATACATTTTATATAACAAATTATATTAGTTTTATATATGAATTTAGATAGTATTGAATACATTAATTTATGTAACTATACTCATTAATTTAATATAAGTAATATATTCTAAAAAAAAAATCAAGTGTTTTAATATTTTAAATCTAAAATCATACCTTAATAATAATTTTATACAAAAATCTTGATTTGTAATTTCTATATTTTTTTTTAAATTCATGAAAAGAATTGTAAGTTTTACAAATTTAACATATACTCATTGAAATGATATTACTTAGTTTCTATCTATAAATAAATATTTATAGTATTTAGATAATGGAATTTGGTTTAGATCGTTATTTATTGAATACAGAGTGTTATTAACTCTTGATAACCAAATTAGTTCTCAAAAGATACGTTTTGATTAACAAATTTTTGTTTAATGCGTTAAAGAATTTTTTTATGATTTAAAAAGAACAATTGACGTCGTTAGTAATTAACATAAGAAAGCTTCTTTAGGAGTAGTCGTTGTAAAATAAAATAATAATAAAATAATTCAAATCATTTTCAATTATTCACATTCCATTGGTGAAATTTCTAATTCTTGTAATTCTTTTTCAAAAACATAATCCATATAATTTAAGTCATCTCTTAATTGTTCTTTTTGACGCTTAGTTAAGTCATTAATTATATCAACATCACATGATGTAATTGACTGGATTTTATAAATATTTAATTGAAAAAATTATGATAGAATCTTACAAACACCTTTTAAATAACGGTTTAAATAAAATTGATCTTTTTGATCATTTCTACGTTGTTGTTGAATGATTCTACGCTGTTCAAGTAAATTTATTTGATTTCTTAAATTCATTTTAAAAGGACAAGACTAAAGAAGTTTGAATTATTTTTTTTTTGTTTTAAGAATTTTTCTTTTTAATAAAGAAATTTCAAGATTAGTTGAAAAAATAAAAACAAAAACGATCTTAAAAAACTAAAAGTAGTGTTATAAGATGGTTTGTTTATTGAGTCTCAAAATAATCATTTTATTAATTCTTTTATAAACTTATGATTATAGATTCATTTCTTCTTCATTCAAAATAAAGTTGGACGTGTTCGTTTAGCCAAATGGTATGATGCTTATTCTGAAAGTGAAAAGGTTAAATTAACATCAGACATACATCGTATTCTTGTCACTCGTGATTCAAGACATACTAATTTTCTTGAAGTTTGTTTCTCTTTTGATTAACTTCTTTAATTATTTATCAACTTTTTGAATATAATTTATATCCTTTTCTAATGAATAATACAAAGACAGAAACACATCTTACTATTTGAGAATTCAAAAAGAAAGAAGGATTTCGTTGATTGTAGAAGAAAAAGAAGAAAAAATATTTATTTTATTTTAGTTCCACAATTTAAAATTAGTATATCGTAGATATGTAGGATTATATTTCATTTGTGGTGTTGATGAAACTGATAATGAACTTGCTTGCCTTGAAGCAATTCATATGTTTGTTGAAATTTTGGATAGTTATTTCGGTAGTGTTTGTGAATTGGATCTTATTTATTATTTCCATAAAGTTTATCAAGTTATTGATGAAGTATTCCTTGCTGGAGAAGTAATGGAACATCGTAAACAAGTTGTTCTTGGACAATTACGAGCTATTGATCAGTTAGCTAGTCAATCCCAATAATTTAACCATTTCTATTTTCTTTTTTTTTGTTATTTAGAGATTCTGAAAATAGGAATTAGGTTTTCATAGAAAAACTTTAAAAGATAAACTAAAGTAACATGCAAGACATTCCTCTTGACACTAAAAGTATTAATGTTATCTTGGTTGGTATGGCTGGAAGTGGTAAAACAACTCTTATGTCTATACTAGCTGAAAAAACTGATGCATATTTAATTAATTTAGATCCTGCTTGCAATGATCCACCATATTCACCTGATATTGATATTAGAGATACAGTAAATTATAAAGAAGTAATGAAAGATTATGGATTAGGACCAAACGGTGCTATTGTTACATCATTAAATTTATATTCTACAAAAGTTGATCAATTAGTAAATGTTTTACAAAATAAACAACAACTAACATTTATTGATACTCCTGGTCAAATTGAAGTATTTACTTGGAGTGCTAGTGGTCAAGTTATTAGCGAAGCTTTATCAATATTCGCACCAACAATTTATCTTTACATTGTTGATACTGCTCGGTGTGTTGAAAACCCAAATACATTTATGGCAAATATGACATATGCGTGTAGTATTCTTTATAAAACTAAATTACCATTAATAATTGTTTTTACTAAAACAGATGTTACTCCATGTACTAAATTAAATCAATGGATGGATGATTATGATAATTATCTTGATGCACTAAATGAAACTGAGTCATATGCAAGTGATCTTCAAAGATCATTATGTCTTGCTTTAGATGATTTTTATAAAAATATTCTTCATTGTGGAGTATCTTCAAAGACAGGGGAAGGTATTGACAAATTATTAGAATGTATTCAAGAAGGAAAAAAACAATTCTTTGAAGATTATTATCAACAAGTTCAAAAGAAAAAAGCTGAATATTTAAAGAAAGAACAAGAAAAGAAAAATAAACAGTTTGAACAATTTAAAAAAGACAGAAAGGAAGAAGACACAGCACGTGGTCTTGTTAATGATGATTTTTGTGGTTCTGCAGGAGTAACTTTATTTAAAGAGGAAGATGAAGGTATGATATTTAGAAATGGAGAACGATTTTTCTATGGTAAAAATGTGGATGATGATGAACCTATTGAAACAGCAAATGAGGAAGATATAAAATTTGATAAAAAAATAGAGAGAGATGATAAAGTTGATGAATTTGATTGATTTGATTTTCTTTTTAAGTTATTTTTTTTTCAGTTATTTGATAAGAAAAATCAATTAATTTAGGATATAAAAAATACTTAAATAAATTTATCTCTATTTTATTAAGAATCGTTTAAGTAAGTTTATTTAACCCTTCATTTTTAATGAACTTAAGTAGTAAAGTTCATTTCTCTTCTTTAAAGATTGAAGTTTTATTTGTTTTTTAACCAACTTAGTAGCACTTAAATCTAGTTAGTATATTAATATGTTTATAAATGATATTAATTTTGTTGTATTAATAAAAAGTTTTAAAATATAAAAATTGTTTTGAATTTTAAAATTAATATTTAT